TTTCCTGACTGTGTTTCAATTCCAAATCAAAATCAATTCCTGGGCTTCAGTCATTTATTGTCTATTTATCAATTAAAATACGTTTCGGTGTTTTCCGAATTTAAAAAACAATCACAGTTCGTCAACAGCTTCATCATATCACACAATAAAATATATCACAATTGCAACACTTTAAAACATTCTAAGATTAATTAGGCCTAACAGGTGATTAGTCAGGACAATCAATTCTGGGAAGAGACTAGAATTCTTTGTTCAGATACTCAATTATTTTTACTTACATGTGTAGCGTTGTTGCTACTTTAAGCCTTGGCATATATTTGGAGTATTAATTTTGTCCATTTTGCACACAAAGCGAAATACTGTTCATATTGATTTCTTTTACTTTCAGGTATTTTTCTTTGCATTCTAAGAATATTATTTTTGGTTTGCAAAATTCTTCAATATACCGGGTGTTAGTTAATATTCTATGTTTATTTCATTTAATTAATGTATGATATATTACTAATTAATTAATTAATCAATGTATGATATATTATTCACCATTTGATTTTTATAATAAACACTTTAAATGAGCAGCCGTCTTAATTAAAATACAGTTATTGCCAACTTTAACGTAGTTGTAATGTAGTAGAAATCGTAATAAAATGTTCTATTCGGTAAAGCAATAATTAAGTATGGTTGCCATTTAATTTATTTATTTACATAATGTTACTATGGAAATAATGCTGTATGTCATACTATTTTGCATGGCTAACTTTGATCAACTGATTTGAAAAAGTATAAATTGCAGACACTTTAATTTCGAAAAAAACAACGATGTGATCACAGAAATCGTAATAAAATGATCTATTCGGTAAACCAATAATCAAGTATGGTTGCCATTTAAAAAAACTCAAATTTGTGACATGTCAAAATTTACAGTTATTTTGTAGAGGTGTCTTATGCAATTTTGTTTGCAATTCAATTTCCACAAACTTTAAAAAGTTTTTCCCAAATATTTCTGACCGCTGTCAAATTTTAGAAAAATAAAATTGGTTTTGAGTAACTCTCTAACTGCTCTAGTTCCGAAGATATTTGTACTGGTCATCAAATAAACTCGCCCTGTATAAACCTGAAAATACACTTTTATTCATTGTTTAGAAACAATCGATGCATATACAGGTCGTTTCTATTGGAGGAAAACATGCACATTTTTGATCCTGAGATTACAAGATCCGAGAACTTATTCAAAAAAAATTATAATAATTGAGAAACAGTGTTTATCTTTGATGTCATACTGGTTAATGGTTACAAAAGGAACAAAGATATTGTCTTTTACATACAATGTGTCGCATTTGAGATGGAAACACCCCTGTATTTAACTTATCTTTGGAAGCAGGGTTTTCAGTTTCGGTACAGAGGTAGAACGTCATGAGCTTAATTGGTCAGGGTACGCATTTCTAACTTCAGATGAGGCTTCATCAGTCTACTACGACTATGCGAATAGGGGGAATTCTCTATATTTTGCGATGCATTGGAGATATCGGAAAAAGTTACTAGAAAAAGCTGTTCAGAATGTTATTTTAATATTTTCGGTAAATGCCGAGTTTCAAGTCAAAAGTAAAATTTTGCTTAAAAGTTTTATTAAATTTTCACGCGAAGTCCGAAGTTTTTACCAAAGAAACAGAAAAATTCAAGCGAAAAACTAGTATTATCAAATATGGTCTGCTTCAACTCATCAAGCCTTATGCACTTTTCAATACGTTCTCGATTGTTATTGGCAACTCTCATAAGTACAGCTACATTTATTTCACGGCAGTTTTTTGGGTTTGGTCTTGGGCAGAGTTGGAGGCCTTACTTTGTAAACCTTATTCTTGATAGTAGCCCAGAAATATAATTCTATTGGCGTAAGGTCAGGAGAGCGAGGGCCACTGTCTAAAAGGGCTATTTATTCCAACCCATCTTAATGGAAAGTATCGATATAGCCAATCCCGGACCAACTGGGAGTTATGAATAGATGCACCGTCTAGTTGGAAAATAATTTCTTGTCGCACGTTGATGGGCAGATTCTCGATAATATCCCATAATTCATTATTAAAAAATGAAACGATCGCTCAGCGTTTAAGGTAATGTGGAAGAAAAACGGACCAATTATTCTGTAAGGTAATATTCCGCACCACACATTAACTTTCTGTGAACTGTGAATTTTGGCTTTTGCAGTTAATAACCAAATGAGGATTTTCTGTAGACCAGTATCTGCAGTTTTGAGATGATTATCCCATTGGTAAACTCATCCGTAAACATGTTTTTTTAATTGTTCTATCAGTTAGAAATAATTTCCTTCTCTTAACGTGTGCATACATTTTGGTTTGAACGGTTTTATTTTATGACGAACCAGACATTTTCTAATTTTGTCTTTACTTCCATTTAATCCAGCTAGCAACAGCACTCAGTCGTTAACGCATTTGAGGATTGGCACAAACTGAAGCTATGATGGAATCATCATTATGTGTTCGATTCCGAAGTTGAGCATGAAGCAGACTGTTCAACACACTTCCAGTTTGAGTGAAACGCAAATTCACCCCTTCTGCAGTTTTATGCCTAATATGATTCCTCTGTGGATGTCTCATATTGAATTCTTCCGCAGCTTATCTGCGTCTTCGAACTCCATTACCAAATAATCCAATTAGTTCTATTTTCTTCTTTAAACTGAGATGTTAGTATTATTATTAGTAATAGGCATTTTGTCAGCGCAATGAAGCAATTAATGTCAAATTGACAATTATTAGAGGCGGTTAACTTGTTTCCATGGCTCCCTTAGAATACTCAGACAAAAATTCGGATTTTGCGTAAAAATAAAAAAATATGCCAAAATTTGACTTGAAACTCGGTATTTACCGTTAAAATAACATTCTGAACAACTTTTTCGAATACATTTTTGCTCCTATTCTCAAAGACGTAATAGAATGGGTGCCTATCTGAAGGTAGAAATGGAAACCCTTAGCACTTAAGCTCATAACGTTCTACCTCTGTACCGAAACGGAGATCCCTGCTTCTAAAAATAAATAAAATACAGACGGGTTTCCATCTGAAGTGCGACACGCTGTATAAACCTGAAAATACATGTTTAATTTCACCCGCGGGTTTACTGTTTTAATAATAATTTGTGTGCTACTGCCTTTATTAGAAAATCAAAACAACTGACTCGGCAATTACTGAAAATCTACCAAAGTGTTACAATAAAGCTTTTAACAGTGTTGCTCTATCGATATTAGGAATCAACAAAGAAAAAAATATGTGTATCGAGTATTTAAGGCCCATTTGATGTTTTTTGTTTCCGCTATTTATCTTTTATTGGCATTGATACATTTTCAGGATATTCTGAAAATTTTTCACTATTTCTAAAGTCTACCAAATCGCTTATGCCCAGCGGGGGGTAGTTGAGATCACAGTGTAGGTTAATAATTGCTTTATCTTTTATCTGATTGACCTGATTTTATTTCACTATAACTAACCCTGATTGGTCAGCAGGAACATTTTTTACCATTATCTATTATTTACTCTATGCTAATCTAAAACCTATCACTTGCCTGTATAGTTCCAAAAAGTACTACCAAACTCACTAATTTAAACATCAAATGCATGATCTATTTCACATCTCATTAGCTACTGCTTGATATTGATGTGTGATATGGCTTTAAATCTACAACTCTCAGGTATTGTTAAACGTAATACTAAGCTAAATATTTTCCCTGTGTCGATTTTGTCTTAAATGTTCATTATTTAGTTGCTAGAATGTCACGTTTAATAAGCTGGTGTTGATTACAACGGAAATACGGGGAATTTTATTAAATTTGTCAAGTTTTTAACGCAGTTTGTTGTTAAATTCAGATAGAGACAATGGAAATTTAAAAACGCTGAGAAATTAAATCATGTACTGCAATAATATGCTAGGGATTTTGAATAATGTTTATGAAATAATTGTCAGAATTTTTTTATATTTTGGCTTTCTGCCTGACATCAATACTTCCAGACCATTAATAAATTTGATGTTCTCTCGAGCACTTGGTAATTTTTTCCGGACTTTTTGCCCGTTGTAGGACAGAGTTTCTTCCATACGTTTCGTAAACACGAGTGACATGCACCATCAGAGGTGTATTGTTTGGAGGCTTATTCCGGAGTAACTGACGTTTTGCAAGGGGTTTTCGCTTGAACGCTTGAACAATTCATGCCTGCAATACTTCAGCAAGACATTCTTTCACACTACGTGCTAACACTAAGCCTGAAAAACTCACACTCACACAAGGTACAAGCAATGGCCGCAAAAACCTAATTCCCTCTATAGAATTTGCGCTTCTTGTTTTGCGCTTTTTTTGAAATAGCACCCCCTGTAAAATAATATTAAATGGTATATCTGCTTTTTAAAACTTAATTTGGACTTAACAGCTTTTCTGGGTAAGTTATAATTAATCAATATTGACTATATACAGTTCGATTCTAAAGTGGCGTTATTACTTTTAAAGGGCTATAGGGGCGTACTTAGACAATAAGAGAAAAATATAAATATTTTTTTTGTAAAATTAGATAATAATAGTAGTTTTCGATAGGCGGAAAGTGTCGTTTTTCGAACGACGACGCCGTTTGACACCCGAGACGAAGTCGAGCGTACTTTTGTAAGGGTATACAAGTGAAACAATGAGTGCTGAAAATTCAAGTGCTGCTTTCGCAGTATGGTGTTTGAATAAGGTGCATATTTTGTATGACATTTACGCTATTTAAAACAATCGTGCTTTGCGTGTGGCAAGTTCTGCGAGCGCAGAAGAATAGACCATTAGAACGACTTTGAAATGATTTACAAATTGTAAGTAAACTTTAAATTATGATAAATAGTCGTGGATAAACCTACGTAATTTATTAAAAAAGCATATCGGTTACTTTTTAAAGAAAATTCTTAAAAAATATATAATCACAGTGGCACGTTCAATTTGTCACATTTACTTTTCCGCACAAGTGCATAAAGTCCTTGCGTAAAAGTAAAACAAATGAACAATAAAGAAAAGTGCTTCTTTATGATCATCGCTTCTGATCGAAAAATGGCAGTTTTAGATTAATTCGAATCAAAAAGATATTAACAGTTGAAGACCGAAGTTCGACTTGTTATTAACTATTATTTTGAAATGGTCCAAATTTTGATTGGTAGCCTTTTGGAAACGTAACCGTTGCAAACAAAAAATACGATTTTTGCTTCAAATTATGAAAATTTTTGATATTGAAAGGGTACCGTTCTACAATTTGTTGAAAAGTAAAAGCAACAATGATGTTATTTGTCATTAACAGATAGTTACAGGTAGATATCCTTTCTCAATAATAACAAGCATTTGTCATACTCTAACTTACTTTGAAGTTCTTTCACACACACAGTTCCTTCACAAAATGTACACCAACATCAAATTTACGAATATGCGATTATGTAACGGGTTATGCAATTCGGAGTTGGGAAAGTAAAACCTTGCTATTTGATATTTCTCGAAGCACGCGTAGACATTATTAAATGTTAATATAAAAATGGCAATTCTGCTGTATCGACGTTTAGGGCTTTACGAGCAGATTACGGTGAGCATAATCGACTCACAGAGCAAACAATTTCGAACACAGTGGAACAATTTGAAGAGACTAGATCGATTACTGATATTGTAAGGCTTGTGCATCATGGCAACATTCGGTCAGCTGAAAATATCGCTATCGTTGCTCAAAGTGTGGAGGAAGACCCGATTTCGTCGATTCCCCGACGTGCTCAACATTTGGGCTTGTCTTACGGCTCATTGAGGCGAATTTTGCAATTAGATTTGAAGCTCCATCCGAACAAATTCCAACTGACTCCAGACCTTAAGCCTCAAGACCATGGGCAACGCAGAACATACCCAAATTGGGTGATTGAACAGCAAGCCGTTAATGATGATCTTTCGAACCGAATTTTCTTCAGCGATGAGGCTCATTTTTCGCTTGGTTACGCGAATAAAAAGAACAGCCGTATATGGGGCTCTCAAAATGCTTAGGTGATCGCAGAAAGGCCTTTGCATCTTGAAACAGTGACCGTATGGTGAGCACTATGATCTGGTGGTGTTATTGGCCCACATTTTTTTGAAAACGATCAAGGAAGAGCCATAACAGTCAATTCTGAGCGCTATGGACGCACGTTAACCGATTATTTTTGGACAGAAATTGAAGATTATGATCTGGAAGGCATGTGGTTCCAGCAGGATGAGGCAACACTCACTGGAAGTCATACAACACTGGAAGTTAGAGAGAATGCAAGAGACATTTCTACGACGCGTAATTTCGAGATTGAGTGATGTCAATTGGCTCGCAAGATCATCCGACTTAACACCGTTGGATTTCCTTTTGTGGGGCTATGCGAAAGATCGTGTTTACGCCAACACTCCTCAAACTCTTGAGCAACTGAAAGCCAATATCCGTGAAGTTATGACCGAGATATGCCTGGTAATGTGCCGAAAAGTCATTCAAAATTAGCTCAAAAGGATTGAGCTCTGTAGGAGGTCCCTTGGAGGACATTTAAATGATATTGTTTTTCACGTATAATGGCACGGTTTACTATTTATATTGAATTAAAATTTTTGTGTCCATCTGAATATTTTGTGTGTTTGTTTTACTTTACTTTCCCAAGCATAAAATGGATAACCTTGTAGTTATGGGGAAATGCCACAGTAACATAGCAGAAGCTGTTAAGAACTTCCGCCAGCAAAGGACTAGAGACTAAAAGTTTCTTTTGCTACCAGATTTTATCAGTTTTGCTCTCAGGATCCTATGATCGCTTTCCTTATTTATTGTGTATTCAGTATGAGATTCTGACCTGTCTCTTGTCGCCTGGGGTAGTATGTTTTGGAGAGTCGACAAATAATCTAGGGGTTTTTAGTCTTAAAACACCACTCTGGCCAAACATGTTGGTGAGTTTTGTTGCCGGCCGCTCATTTTGAGTCAGACGACGTTTGTAGCTGGGTCACAAACATAGGATAGTATAAGCTTTTAGCAGCCGCATCAATTGAAGAACCAGAAACAAACCGGAACAGTTTGCATTGTGCGTATTCACTCTGTTTGATGCAAAAAATGCTGTCTGGGGTGAAGATACGCTTGAAAAAAATGGACTGCATGTTGTGTAAAAATAGAGAAACATTGTGGTTTGCTTCGTAATATATTTAAAATATAAAATTGTGTAAAAACACAGCCCCAGTGTGACACACTCCAGAGCTTGACGGTTGAAGAGGTAATGCAATAAATGAAAAAATGGCGTCTTTCATGCATGCAATTGTTAAAAAACCTACATAAAAAAGACCTTTTTTAAATTTTGTGCCTGGCTAAAACTTATAAATATTGTTTGCGCCCACGTTTTTGCACCTTCTCGGGCGCTTAAGCTATCATATACAATTACTATATACATTATTTTTCTATTTTTAGTAACTTTTGAGCGGTTTTCAATAGTTGGAAATATTCGTCTTTTAAATAAATAAGCATGTGAAGCTGGATTTGCGATTGGGGAAAATTCGCCAAGTATAAAAAATAGTACTCCGATTTTTCGATATTGGAAGCCTCAGTTGCAATTATCTGGAATTCCTGTTCCTCTATGTCTGGAATCCGATCACCTTTATATCGTCCACTATCTGCGTCAATTTATGGAGGCAATCGTCCAATGTCTCTAGCACTTTGCTGGTCTAAGCTGTTACAGCTTCTGCTTTGTTATTGTGCCATTCGCCGATAACTAATAGCATATCCGCATAATCGATATTGGTGTACATTTTTTGTGAGAGCAGCTTCAAAGTAAGTAACAAAAGATGTTTAGAACCAGTTATGAGAGGGAAAGACGAAAGACAACTTTGAACGTTTCCTCATCCGCTTCAATAATGTTCACCTGAGATGTGAAAGAAACTACAGACCGGACAGCTTTTTAATCGATACTTTGAACAGTCGTAAAAATCCTCGGAGTCTAATTCTATTAATTAAATATATCAAAATTTGTAGCTACTTATAATCGAGTTTTGTCAATCGGTATCGACTCTGAGCTGCCGAATTTGAGAAATATGCAATAATAAAGTAACCCTTCTCTTGCGTAATTGAACGCTTCTCTAATTATGCCGGTGATAAAGCTTTCTGATAACTTTTATTAACTATTGTTGAGGTGGTAAATAGATTTCTGCAAACGACATTTAATATTGCACATTAAGTGCAATCTTTGTTAGGTTGAAATACGCATTCAGACTTTAGCCTGGCTTGTTTCCATTTCCCAATTACCCAGAACATTTTTCTTCATTTAATATAATACTTGTAAAGGTGTTTCTTTACGGATTAAAAAGTCGCTGATATACGAATTCAAATATTTGGTTAGGCTAACAATACTTATATTTAAATTTCAAGCAGATACGGATATAATATACATTTATAACTCGACGAACGAGGTCAATATGAGCGAATTCTTAGAAAATTCTTGTTTTTGAGAGTCTTTTGTCTTGTCGTGTCTTCCCTTCCAAACCCGAAATTATTCAATTGTTA